GTCTCCAGATGAAGGCGAAGAACCTCAGCATCAAAATCCCAACGTTTGTTCTTGGCTCATTGTTGCTAAGAAACTATGAGCTTGTGGCTAAAAGGCCTATGTGACCTTTAGCACTGATGGCCCCAATTCTTAGGAATCAAGGCCCGCCTAAGTCTGGTTATCTTAGTTGCTGGAGACATGGGCTGTCAGGTAGGGGATGTGTGCTGTTCCCCTCACCTTGCAGGCTATTGTGAATTGCCCCTTTTCAAGCTATTGTGGACTGCCCCTATAAAAACCCTATGAATGTGCTGTTTGGGGCCACACTCCTGGTAAAGGGTCCCAGCCAGCTGCTGCTCTCTACCAAGAGCCCAGGCTCAGATATTGAGCTTCAATACACCATCCTCGTGCACTTGGATCGACTTCACACTCCTGGGGATTTCAAAATCTGGGCACAACACAGTGACACTAGGGACTGAATTTAAGAATTTTACTCAGAAAAATGGTGAAAAGGCCAGAGGTAGGATAGAACATATTCAAGTTAGTTTTTGGATTATATGGGCTTTAATTAAAGCTCTTACTATTTTAGAAGCGGAATGTACCTAAAAAAGAAATGCATCGTAGTGCGGACCAGGAAGAAAGGGGTCAGAGGCCCGCCTGAGAGAGGAGCTAGACTGGGCAGTGGGCAGTTAGGGCATTCTGGGGCCCCAAGTCATTTTTTTTCTCAAAGATAAAAGGGTACTTTCCCCACCACCTCTTGGATTCACCAGAGGTCTCCCAACTCAGCAGGAATGCTTCCCCTAGGGCGACATTAACTTATCAATTCCCCATCTGAAGCCTCAGCCCCATTCTGTCTCCCCCATGCCAAGGGGGAGGGCTCAGACCGGCCTCTCATTAGAAAGGGACCAAGGGAGTTGGCCAGTGACGCCTTTCTGGCCTTTTGTCCCAAGGCCAGGTACCATGGAAACCGGGAATTTTCTTTGTTCATCTTTGAGAGAGAAACATCTTTGAGGTAAACCTTTAAAAGGTGCATTCCCCACCATTAATACGGGCTCTTCCTGCCACTATGCAGGGGTAAGGGTCCTTTCTATCTCAAAACCCCCTCCCATCGCTAGGATGGGAGTCTCTCTTCTCAGCTTCTCTAATAAGTCTTATTTTATTTTTTTTAAAGATTTATTTTTATTATTTTTTCATTGGAAAGGCGGATATACAGAGAGGAGAGACAGAGAGGAAGATCTTCCGTCCGATGATTCACTCCCCAAGTGAGCGCAACGGGCTGATACTATGCCGATCCGAAGCCAGGAGCCTCTTCCGGGTCTCCCACGCGGGTGCAGGTTCCCAAAGCTTTGGGCCGTCCTTGACTGCTTTCCCAGGCCACAAGCAGGGAGCTGGAAGGGAAGCGGGGCTGCCGGGATTAGAACCGGTGCCCATATGGGATCCCGGGGGTGCAAGGCGAGGACCTTTAACCACTTGCGCCACCGCGCCGGGCCCATAAGTCTTATTTTAAACTAAACTTTGTCTGCACGAAAATTCTTCTTTCCTGCGAGACAAGAATTGAAGTTGCTGTCGTATTCGGAGTCAAAAACCCTACAACACACCTAACAGGAAAGGCCGCTGCAATACGACCACAAAGTAAACCCCTGGAGTACAGATGAGATGGCAAAGAGCCACGTGTGAGGGGCTTCCTAACGGAGGCGCCAGCACAAGTGGCAGGGAAGGAAATGGCCTATGCTACAGGCGAAGATGAAAGAGAACGGGTGAGAGACCCTCCGACGCGGAGACACCGCTGTAATGCAGCTGAAAAGAAAGGCCTTATGCTGCAGATGTGGAAGTTAGGGAAAGAAATCTCAGGAGAGATTCTCCTAACGGAAGATATTGCCATAATGTGACAGAAAATGAAATTACGCTTGAACTTAGCCAAAAGGCCGAGAAGCGATTAGAACTAAGAAAAAGAAAAACATTTTCGGTGTTAGCCCACAGGATTTCTCTGGTGAGGTAAATGAGGATGGGATAAAGGAACAGTTAAATCTCAGCCCATGCAGTCTCACTCTTAAATATTTTAAACTGTTGCCAAATTGATTTATTGATCTGTCTTGAACTAAGATTGCTAAATCAACACAGATTTCTTTGATTCATGTAACAAGCTTCTATAAGTTGTTTTTATTTGTGCTCAGGTTTGATTCTCATTGTTTTCTCTAATATACAGAGAGGAGGAGAGACAAAGAGGAAGATCTTCCATCTGATAATTCATTCCCCAACTGATCGCAAGGGCCGGTGCTGTGCCGATTGGAAGCCAGGAGCCTAGATCCTCTTCCGGGAATCCCACGCGGGTGCAGGGTCCCAAGGCTTTGGGCTGTCCTCGACTGCTTTCCCAGGCCACAAGCAGGGAGCTGGATGGGAAGTGGAGCTGCCGGGATTAGAACCGGCACCCATATGGATCCCAACTCATTCAAGGCGAAGACTTTAGCCACTAGGCCACTGTGCCAGGCCCAATACAATTTAGTTTTAATTGTTAACCAGTGCTCTTGTTTCCAAATTCACAGCAGACATTGGACTTTTGGGTAATGTTTTCTGAAACTGTTATTTGATATTTTTCATTGATTTTTTTTTTCTGAGTAAGCAACCTGGTGGCTCAGACTTGTTGAATGTACACACCACACCTTAAAAAGCCAATTGTTTATAAAAATAATAATTAATAAATAAAAAGGGGGGATGCCCTCCGGAGACACTATACTCTTTCTAATACTTAACTTGTAAAATTTGCCTTTTAAAATTTTCCTTCTCCCCAAAAACCTTGTATCAGTTTATGACTGTTAACGCTAAACAAGATGTAACTGCATGGAGCCTTTGCTGTTGAGTTTGGACTCAGCTGTCACACACGCTGGGTGTTAATGTTGATCCTCTCACCATCCCGTGCCCCCCCGACCTAGCCCGCCGTTCACGCCCGTGCCCCCCGACCTAGCCCGCCGTTCACGTCCCGTGCCCCCCGACCTAGCCCGCCGTTCACGCCCCGTGCCCCCCGACCTAGCCCGCCGTTCACGCCCCGTGCCCCCCGACCTAGCCCGCCGTTCACGCCCGTGCCCCCCTGACCTAGCCCGCCGTTCACGCCCGTGCCCCCCGACCTAGCCCGCCGTTCACGCCCTGTGCCCCCCGACCTAGCCCGCCGTTCACGCCCGTGCCCCCCGACCTAGCCCGCCGTTCACGTCCTGTGCCTCCCGGACCTAGCCTGCTGCTCATGCACCTCAGGCAAGTTTCATGTTTTGTTGCCTTTATTAAGGTAATTGTTTCTAAATCTTAAACTAAGATGCTCAGGGCTCATTTTTACTCTGGCAAAGATTTAAAACTGGCGTCTTTCACATCTGAACTTAAGCTAGCTTGGGAGAGAAATTATGTGATTTTTCTACCTTCTACCAAGGACCCCTAGATGCATTTCCTGGAGAATACCTGGCTGCTGTGGCCCCTCTCTCAGCTGAAGTTCCCAGAGCGACCACCGGCCAATCATCCCTGACAGGCAGCCAGGTCCATTCTCTGGGGAAAAAGGATGTGGAGGAGTTAGATGAGATAATAGGCAGTTGGGGTATGTGGTCCCTGGTGAAGTTATTTTTGTATAACATATAGCATTGCTTCTCCCCATTTTCAGCTCTTCCAATGACATGTTCTCCCTAGCTACATCTTTCAGGCCTAATTTTACAAAACACAGAAGTGGGATTTGTAGGACATTCAGAATCTTTGCTGTTGTGGGAGACAATGGCCAGTTGAATCTCCCCTGAAGGAGCCAGGAGCAATTGCTAAGGAGATAAAAGAGGCTACATCCTGGTTCACAGGTGCAGAGAAAGAACCTGCCAGGAACTAGCTGTGTTTGGGGAACTGTGCCTCCTCCCTGGAAGCCTACCTGACAACCTTCCTTTAAAAGTGGTGCTGTTGATAAACCTCGGCTATTGGCCACCAGTCAGAGTCCACGCACCAAGTCCATTCCCGCGGGACAGCGACAACAGACTGGAGAGATGTTCAAGTTTCTTTCACTTGTATCTGCTGGGGAGGCGAGGAAGGCGGCCGCTACTTGCTGTCAAACCACACCAGCACCTCAGAATCAGGAGGACATTTGATGAAGACTTGACCCTGATGTGGGCAAGTGTGTCCACTGGGGGAGGTCCTGACAGTTCTGGGAAATTGTTGGTTTCATTGCTCCAGGGCTGAGAATCTAGGGTCTGCTGCTTGGTGATGGCCCTTAGGGCAGCCACAGACCCAGGAGCACACTGCGGCTTGGCCAGAACTGTCCACCCCGTGCTGCTTTCCACTCTCCTCTGGCCCAGAGGAGCTGTCATGTTCCCTGTGTGCAGCTGGGCATGCTGTCCACTGCATGGGCATTGGCATGAAGGACCAGTCCTGATACGGTGGCCCTCACATGCTCCAAGGGTGGCTTAACTTGTAGCACCTCACTTTGTGCCCCCCTGTTTTGCATCAAGGGGGTTCCTGGTTGATGCAAAGGGTCAAGTGAGGGGAAATGGCGGCAGCGCGAACAAAGAGGCTTTCTGTGGACGAGCGAGGAGGCCCCATCAGACTCATGGACACACCTTCCCTGCTTCCTGGTGTGCAAGTGCCGTTAGGAGGCCTCCACGCAGCCCAGCCCCAGTGGCTCCCACAGGGCTGGCGCAGCAGGAACCCAGCCTGGGCTCGTCCTGGCTGGCCACCTTCTGACTGTGATGGTGGCCTGGCCTGGCCTGCACACCCCTCCAGCTATTCCTGCCCAGCCTGAGGGCTGGGCATTCTGTCCATCCTAGGACAAGTGTCACCTCTTGGCCCCCACGCCTATTGCCTGCACCCGGGCCCCCTAAACTGAGGGCTGCACCTCCGCAGCCCCTTTGCGCAGCCGGTGCCCGGGTAGCAGGAGCCGGCGCTGGGCCTGCAGGTGCGGGGGGTGGTGGGCGGGGCGGGAGGCGGCTGGCCGTCACGCGTGGACCCTGTGGGGGCGCTGGCTCGGCCCCGCCCCGCGCGCCCCCGCTGCAGCCGGCGCGCGCTCCCGGGAGGCGGCGGCGGCGGCAGCAAGGGCAGCAGCGGCACCGGCAGCCCCCGGCGGCCTCGGGCGGGGCCGGCCGGCCGGACACACGGACACAGGGTGCCGGGGGCGCGCGGCCCGCCGGGGCCGGCCATGGAGGGCGCCTCGTTCGGCGCGGGGCGCGCGGGGGCTGCCCTGGACCCCGTGAGCTTCGCGCGGAGGCCCCAGACCTTGCTGCGGGTCGCGTCCTGGGTGAGTCGCCCCCGCCAGGCGCCCGCGCCCCCCGCCGCGGCCTCGCCCCTCGTCCTCACCCTCGCCCCTCGTCCTCACCCTCGCCCCTCGTCCTCACCCTCGCCCCTCATCCTCACCCTCGCCGGCCGCAGGCTGCGGTGACGTCACCGGGCTGGGCGCACCCACCTGCGGTGGGGGAGGGGCGAGGGACCGAGAGGGGGACGCCGAGAGGTCACCCCGCCGCCCCTTCCCCCAGCTCCCTCCCTCTCGGCCCGCTCCGTTTTCCTTGATGCCACGACCGGGAAGCGGGCACCTGGGTAGGGGTGGGATTCGCGGAGGGGCTGGGCGCCGAGCCCCAGCCGGAGGAGGGGGCTCCCGGGCGCGCACGCATCCTCCAGGCTGCTCGGCAGGGCCCCCCAACACCCCCACTCCGGGGGTCCGCTGCGGGAGGAGGACACCGCCCAGAGGGCTTCCTGGCGGTGGTGTCCGAGGGGAAGGCCAGGGGAGGGCGGCTGGGCTCCGGGGCACCGCTGGGGCGGGAGGACGGGGAGGGGAGGCGCCCAGGCGTCCGCAGACACACCTCCCGCCCGTGCCCAGGAGGGCGGTGGCCAGGCCAGTGACTCGGCCCTGCTTGCGGGCAGAGCAGCGTCCCCGCCGGCTGCCGGCTTTCCCTGGACCCCGGCCTGCCGAGCTGCGACGGGAGGCGGAGGGAGTGACCCAAGCGCTGGGCCTCTTGTCCCTCCTGGTGGGACAGGACGGGTGCACGCTGCCAGCTGCAGGGCAGAGGCTCGGCGACTGGGGGTGAGGATGGTTGCACGCACTGGGGGGCTGCAGCTGCCTGACCTGGAGCGTGGGCAGGGGGAGCGGGCCGCGCACGAGCCCCCGGCTGCACCAGCCTCGCTCCGGCTGCGCCCCTGGTTCCCGACCCCAGGCCCACACCCGCTGACGCCCTGAGGGTCGCCGAGCTCCGAGCTCCGGTCTGCCCGCGGCCCAGGGCCCGGCTCAGGCTTAGGCGGGGCGGGAAGGGAGGGGACCCTCAGGCACACGCCCACCGCCCTCAGGTGTTCTCCATCGCGGTCTTCGGGCCCATCATCAACGAGGGCTACGTGAATGCCGACAGCGGCCCCGAGCTGCGCTGCGTCTTCAACGGCAACGCGGGCGCCTGCCGCTTCGGGGTGGTGCTCGGCCTCGGCGCCTTCCTCGCCTGCGCTGCCTTCCTGCTGCTCGACGCGCGCTTCCAGCAGATCAGCAGCGTCCGAGACCGCCGCCGCGCCGTGCTGCTGGACCTGGGCTTCTCCGGTGGGCGCGGCGGGGGCGGGGCCAGCGAGGGAGCGCCGGGCGGGGGCGGGGCTACGGGAGGGCGGGGGCGGGGCTACGGGAGGGCGGGGGCGGGGCCAGTGAGGGAGCGCCGGGCGGGGGCGGGGCCCAGGAGGAGCCGGGGCGGGGCTAGGGGAGGGCGGGGGCGGGGCCAGTGAGGGAGCGCCGGGCGGGGCGGGGCTGGGGGCGGGGCGGGGCGGGGCTGGGGCGGGGCGGGGCTAGGGGCGGGGCGGGGCTGGGCGGGGCGGGGGCGGGGCCTCCCGGGGCTCGGCTTCAGGTGAGCGTTCTGCAAGCGGCGCGCCCTTGAGGTGTCGGCCTTCCTGACGTCCCGCCGCCGGCGCCGCAGGCCTCTGGTCCTTCCTGTGGTTCGTGGGCTTCTGCTTCCTCACCAACCAGTGGCAGCGCACGGCGCCCGGGCCCGGCACGGCTCAGGCGGGGGACGCGGCGCGGGCCGCCATCGCCTTCAGCTTCTTCTCCATCCTCAGCTGGGTGAGTGCGAGCCGGGGCCGGCGGGGCGGGTGGCCGGCCGCCCCGGGCCGCCCCGCTGACCCCGCTCCCTGCCAGGTGGCGCTCACCGTGAAGGCCCTGCAGCGGTTCCGCCTGGGCACCGACATGTCGCTCTTCGCCACCGAGCAGCTGGGCGCCGGGCCGGGCCAGGCCTACCCCGGCTACCCGGTGGGCAGCGGCGTGGAGGGCACCGAGACCTACCAGAGTCCGCCCTTCACCGAGACCCTGGACACCAGCCCCAAAGGCTACCAGGTGCCCGCCTACTAGGGGTGGGCAGGGGGCCCCCGGACCGAGGGGGCGGCCGCGTGGGCCGCGCAGGGCCAGCAGGCAGCGGCTCCTGGGGTGCCGAGGTCCAGAGGCTGCAGCCCAGGCCGGGCGCTCCCGCTGCGCGCCCCGTACCCGTGCCCAGACCCCGTGCCCAGACCCTGTGCCCCTGCCTCGGGGGCCTGCCGGGCGCTCCCGCTGCGCGCCCCGTGCCCAGACCCTGTGCCCCTGCCTCGGGGGGAACTGCCGGGCGCTCCCGCTGCGCGCCCCGTGTCTGTGTCCCCGTGTCCGTGTCCCTGTCCTGCCCCATCGGGTCGCAGCCTCCCTGCTTTCTGGCCCTGCCGATGTTGTGATTGTGCTCAAATCTTCAGGTCTCACTGGGGTCCCCAAGCTGTCCCTCTGTCGAGACCCCTGCCTGCCTCGGCCCTGGCATCTGCCAGCAAGGCCCGGGAAACCCTGCCCGCCCTGCCCAGTCCTCCTGTAAGGCTGCAGAGGCCAGAGAAGCCTGGAAGCGCGGAGAGGCCGAGGGCCTGCACCTGCCCAGGCCCCGGAGCGGCCTCTTCCCTGCACACCCCACACCCTTCCACCTCGCCCCATCTCTCCCTCCCCCGCCGCACCCCGTTTAAGGGCCCAGCCCGGTCGGGGTCCCCGCGCGTCGCCGCCCACCCAAGCATTGCTCGCAGCCGGCTTCTGCGTCCGGCGTGATCCCAGCGCAGTCGCCACATCCCACTCCCGCAGACTGCTGTCCCTCCGGAGTGGCAGCCGAGAGGCAGCCCTGTGCACCGTAGCTAGACCAGTGCCATGTTTACAACTTTTGTATGTATGTCAGCCCGCCCTCTGTCTTCTGAAGGAACAATCTGTGATTGTGTGTTTTCAGTGTCCAGTGTTCCGACTGCAACCTCTTTACAATAAAGACTGTAAATGACCTTTCCGTGACCCGGAGACTCCTGCGGATTACTCCCACCTGCCAGGCGTGGGACACCAGGGGCCAGGCCAGCTCCCAGGTTCTGGGGTGCTCAGGCCCGCGAGTCACCCACGCACAACACACCTGCCACGCTCACCTGGGCAGGCGCTGCTGTTCACAACAGGCCCGAGCTGGGCTAGCTGTCACTTCTGTCCTTTTTGGAGGGGATGCTTGGCCAGCACAGGGTCCTCCTGGGGCCAGTGTTGTGGTGCGGGGGTAGGGCAACACCCCGTGCTGGAGTGTGGAGTGAGGCGCTGGCCGCTCCTGCTGCTGTGACTGGCATAGCAGCACTGGGCTCCTGGCTTCAACCTGGACCAGTCCTAGGGGTTGATACAGTTTAAAAATATGAATGTATTTATATTGGAAAGGCAGAGTTACAAGACAGATAGATGTGACGTCCTCTGGTCGGTTCGCTGCCCACATGGCCACAGCTGCCAGGGCTGGGCCAGGCTGAGGATCTGTCTCCCACAGAGGCGCAGGGCCTGAGGACATGGCGTCTTCAGCTGCTTTCCCAGGCCTGCTCGCAGGGGCTGAGGAAGGGCAGCTGGGACTCACCAAGGTGCCCACATGGGATGCTGCTGTCCCAGGCAGCGGCTCCAAAGCAGCAGCTGAAGGGCATTTCTGTGTCTCGCTTGCCCAGGACTCCGGCTTGTGCCGGGCAGGCTCCGCGGCCGCCAGCTTGCTGCTGTGGTCCAGTGGCAGTAGTTACACTGTCGGCTGCCCAAGTGCAGTGACAGGCTCTCATCCTTGTCTGTCCTAAGCGCTTCACATAATGCAGTCATTCAGTGTCTCATTCTCAGACCCAGTCAAATGCTCTTGGGGTTCGTCCAAGCCATAGCACACGTCAGGGCCCCCCACACTCTTGAGGGCACAGGTAGTGCGTGTCAGGGCCCACACCTGCTCTCCAGGGGCAAAGGTAGTGTTTGTCAGGGCCCCCCACACTCTTGAGGGCGCAGGTAGTGCGTGTCGGGGCCCACGCCTGCTCTCTTGGGGCGCGTGTAGCCCTGTCTCCTTATCTGCTGCTGACACTTGGGTCGCTGTGATTAAAGCTCCTGTAAACGTTGACATAGAAGTATCTGAGTTCTTGTTTTCTCTTCTTAAATTTTTTGTTGGGCCCAGTGTGGTGGCCTAGCAGCTAAAGTTCTAGCCTTGAATGCCCTGGGATCCCATATGGGCGCCAGTTCTAATCCCGTTGGCCCCACTTCCCATCCAGCTCCCTGCCCGTGGCCTGAGAAAGAAGTTGAGGACGGCCCAAAGCCTTGGGACCCTGCACCCGTGTGGGAGAGCCAGAAGAGGCTCCTGGCTCCTGGCTTTGGATCAGCATAGCACCGGCCGTTACAGTCACTTGGGGACTGAACGAACCATTGGAAGGAAGATCTTCCTCTCTGTCTCTCCTCCTCTCTGTACATCTGCCTTTCCAATAAAAATAAACAAATCTTTAAAAAAAATGTTGTTGTTGTTGAATTTTACTTATTTGAAAGGCAGCGTTACAGAGAGAATCTTGACCTGCTGGTTCACTCCCAAAATGGCCGAGCAGGGCATGGCTAGGCCAGGCCAAAGCCAGGGACTTCTGGGTCTCCCCATGGGAGCAAGGAGCTAGGCACGGGTGCTGCATCCAACCCGAGCCTCTCCCCAAGGGAAGCCCTGGGGGGTCAGGGAACCAACGGGCTGGGGTCAGCACTCCTTCCCCCCCAGGACTTTAACTGCTAGGCCACCGCGCTGGACCGCAGCCTCTATTTTTTTTTTTTTTAAGTTTCAAAGACACAGAGGGACAAGGAGAGACAGGTAGAGAGCTTTGGTCTGCTGATCCACAGCAGGCAGGCTAGGCCAGGCCAAAGCAGGGCAGGAGCTTCCAGAACCCCCTAGAGGTCACAGGGGGCTGGGCACGTGGGCCGTCCTCTGCTACTTTCCTGCCGAGGCCATTAGCAGGGAGCTGGCTTGGAAGCGGAGCAGGCGGGACCCATTAGGGGTGCTGACACTGCAGGCAGTGCCTTTGCCTGCCTACCACATGCCAGCGCAAGTGTGCTCTTTAATTTAGGATTAAAAAATTGTTTGAAAGGCAGGCATAGGAAGTGGGTAGAGACAGAGAAAGCAAGGTCCTTGATTCGTGCGGCTCACCTGCCGTCTGGTTACAATAGGCAGTTCTTGGGATTCCATTCGGATCTCCAACACTTGAGCTGCTTTCCCAGGTGCACTGCGGGAGAGTCGAATCAGAAACAGAGCAGCCGGGACTTGAACTGCTGCTCATGTGGGAGTCTAGTGGTTCAAGCAATAGCTTAATTAACCAGCACTACAACACTGGCCCTTAATTTAGGATTTTTGTTAGGGTGCCCCATTAGATGGCAGTGAACACAGCATGCTTGGGGGGGTCACACCTGGGGCAGGGTGAGGTTGCATGTAGAGGGAGGGAGGGACCCGTGAGCGTCCTCCCAGCAGGTTCCCTTGGAAGTCCTTGGTGGTTTCAGAGCTGCAGCAAGAATCCAGGTCATGGCCACCGCATGTGACACATGGGGTCAGCAGGTCAGTTTTGCAGGTCACACCCAGTCAGCCCACAGGGAAGTTGCTCCAAAAGCAGATTGAGAAGGTGGAGGCGGGGACAGGAATGGTAAGGGTGGGCAGCCGCAGGGCAGGACACTGTGTCGAGGGTGACCAGGCCCTGCCTTGGTATGAGGAAGTCCTACAATAGTTGGTGACCTGCTTGTGTCCCCACACCAGTCGTGAGCGCTCGGTATTGTCTGCTGGTGGCTACCAGTCCCGGCTGCTGTCTCCTGGGAAGGCAGTGTGGTGCTGAGGCCAGGAATGAGTCTTGCTTCCTGGCTGCGTGACACAGCATGAGCTGAACCAAGTGCTAGAAGCTACTATTGTTTTTTTTTCTAGATGTTCATTTTTTAAAAAGTTTTATCTGAGCATGATGGTTCAGTGGTTAAAGTCCTCACCTTGCAGATGCTGAGATCCTATATAGCTACTGGTTTGTGTCCTAACTGCTCCACTTCCCATCCAGCTCCCCGCCTGTGGCCTGGGAAAGCAGTCAAGGACGGCCCAAAGCCTTGGGACCCTGCACCCGCGTGGGAGACCCGGAAGAGGCTTTTGGCTCCTGGCTTCAGATTGGCTCAGCTCCGGCCGTTGCAGTCACTTGGGGAGTGAATCATCGGACTGAAGCTCTTCCTCTCTCTTCTCTCTCTGTATATCTAACTTTCCGATAAAAATAAATATTAAAAAAATAAAGGAAGTCAGTCACAAAGGGAGAAGAAAGAAGTCAGTCCACTCTCCGGATGGACACGCAGCAGCCAGAGCCAGCCGGGGTGCCAGGGGCCAAGCCCTTGCTGGGTCGTGCATGCCCGCCACCTGGGACATCAGCAGGAGGCTGGACTGGAGTCCATGCTCTTAGTCACGGACACGGCCTGACCTGCTGTGCTCACTGCCCCCTCTTCTCACACAGCAACATGGCCAGTGTTCCTGGTCCCCCTCCCCAACACTAGCTTCAGAGGACACCTTCTCTCCCTGCGGTAGCTCTGGCGTTGGCCTGTGGCTACGGGCAAGTGTTGCCCTCCATTCCTAACACTGGTGCCCAGCCCTGGGTGTCTGTTCCCATTGCTTTGCACGCCTCCCTTACCACACGACACGACTGGGGTCCAGGCTTGGTGGCTTCTTCCTGCCGGCGCACACTGACCGCCAGGCTGCTTCTAGCAGGCCTCCTTGCACAGTGTGGGCCTGGCCAGCCGCCTGGCAGCTATCTGACATGGTCTGCACATCAGGGGACTCGGCAGAGAAGCTCAGGACACCAGCCATGTGCAATATCGCAAAAATAAATTTATTTGAAGATAAACTGTCTTATAAAAGGTCAGAGGCAATTTGAGATCCCAGGTCAGCTTGTCTCGTAAAGATTCAACTTCAAGTAGCACAATTTCATGTCTGTTTTTAATCCTGAACATTCTAGAATCACAAAACAGCCAACTGTTTACACAACACACCCAAAATTGGACTCCAGCGCCAGCGGATCCACAGCGTGGGCTCTGGGAGCTCGGGGCTGCAGCCCGAGTCAGGAGGCCCAGGTGGGGTCACGTGGCATCTCCACCCTTGGCTTTCCAGGGACACATGAATGCAGACCAAGGCAATCCGGTGCTGAGGTGAGGGTGGAGCCTCCTGCAGGGGGCCAGCCTCGCCAGGGAAGGAGCCTGACAGCTGCCAGCGCTTCTGCCCGCTGTGCCGGGAGC